CACCTCCATGGGGTTCCCACAAAGGTTCCGCGAACCCCTCCGCGAGCCCCTCCACGGGCCCCGCCTTCCCCGCAAACCCTCCCGCTGGCCCCGCCCTCTCCTCTAACCTGCTGGCCCCGCCCTCGCCACGCCCTCTTCAGATGCCCCGCCTCCTCCTCGAGCCCTCCACGGGCCCCGCCCTCAGCGGGCCGTGGTTGCCCAGCTCCGCTTGGCCCCTCCTCGCCTCTTTAAGTTTTTGTTTTCTGTTCCCCCTGTTAGCACCTGCTCGGTTCTCTCAAATAACCCTGCCTCCTGTGCACCCCTCTTCCCGTCTGACTGCCGAGATCCCCTGATTTCCCCGCCGATCTAGGCTGTCTCCATTTGGGCTTAGCCAATTGTGCGGAGGCCTGCTGCTGGGCGTGGGAGGACCCTGCTCTCTAGAGCTCCCTGCGTGCGGGAGAGTCACTTTGTAACGGAGTGTAACAGGACCGGTGATACATTTTTAATGAGGGAAACATAGTATTGCCAAGCTTCGTGGAAGGAGCGCTACAGTTTTCACCCTCCCGGCTGGATCTACTAGCAGGACTGAGGGGCTCAGCTGTGCCTCTCTCTCAAAATGTCCCAGGCTTCCTCTGATGCAGAATATTGGCTCTAACTGTTGTCCTTTAAACTCTTGGAAGATAGTGAAAATCTTGTCATGGGCCCTTCTTTTAACCAGAGTTGGTAAGGCCTCAGACCCCATTCATCCAAGCCCTCTGTGTGCTGACCCGGCTGAAGGCTACACAGGCAAGTGATTGACTTAGTGACTCAGCATCGTCCTCATGATGCTTCTTTTTGGAGATTTCCCTGGGGATTCTTACCCAATATTTCAATTACCTAGCAGTCTTAATTGATAGAAAAACATAAATGTATATGTAGATAAAACCTCCAGTCAATAAGTAGATTTCTCCAAGCCACTGCACTAATATACTTATAAGTGTATTATTCAGAAGATGGTGACCGACACCTTCAGTCTCTTTTCCTTCAGCTCCACCATTTGCTGTGAAGTTTGGCAAAGAAACTTTCCTTATCTGAGCCTCAGTTTTACCTTCTACAAAAACACACGATTAACCCTATCACTGAGGGCCATGGTGTGCATTTGTTGAGATCCTGCTGATGAAAAAAAAAATCACTTTTAGGGTCCTCTAAACACTGGGATCTCAGCACAAGTGAGCTCCTGCTGCAGATTCAAGTCTGTGCAGTTGTAGCCAGCAAAGAGGCTGATGTGTTTGTTGCCCTCTCCCAGGCACCATGACCACCCTGGATGATAAGTTGCTGGGGGAGAAGCTGCAGTACTATTACAGCAGCAGCGAAGATGAAGACAGCGACCACGAGTACAAGGACGGAGGCGGGGGCGCCCTGGCCGGCAGTTCGATGCCTGTAGATGCTGAGTTGGCAGGCGAAGGCATCTCAGTTAACACAGGTACTGGAAATCCCCGAGCTCTGGGAACAGATTTAAAAATGTCGGTTACATTTTATCAGTTCGAAGTCTCCCGGTTACTTCCCTCTAATTCCAGTCCCACCTTCAGAGATAACCTAGTGTTGTCATTTCACTGTGCTTGTTTCTGGCCATGTCACCGCACAGTACAGATAGATGTGTCTGCATAGCAACATGGTAATGAACACAGACTGGCCTGAGGTTAAGTCCAGCTTCTCAAATTAGTATTTGTTTGATAACACATACATCGCAGGTATGAGTATTGGTAGTATAAATTCCTAGAAATGGCACGTTTACATTTTTACATTTTAATAATTCCAAATTGCTGTCAAGTTGAGCTGGCACTGTTTTATAGTTTAACCAGCAGACGATGTTTCTCCACACACTTGCCCTCCTACTGGGTTCTCACACTTTTTGGTCTTTGCCATCCCAGTGGATGACAAATGATAACTCATTGTAGATTTATTTCCTCTATTTTTAAGAGTGATGTTGAGCCTCTTTTCATAACTTTAGAGATATTTTCATATTCTTTGCTCAGTTTTTAAAATGTTTTTTATTGATTTATTTTTAGAAAGAGAGCAAAGGAAGAGGGAGGGAGAGAAACATCAGTGTGAGAGCTATACTTGGATTGGCTGCCTCCTGCACACTCCCTACCAGGGGATATGGGGGCAGCTTGGATAACAGAACAACCTGCCATAATGTTATAAAAATTCATATCATACAGAAGTGCAGAAAAAAAGTAAAAAGTTCTCTCTCCCTGTAGATCCTGCTACCTAGAGACAACCACTATTAACAGTTTACACATCCTTCTAGCCTTTTTCTATGAACATACAAATGTACATGCATGTATATAGATATCCATAAATATTTATACATATACATACAGTTCTTTTTCTGTATTGTCCTGCATTTTGCCTTTTTTATAAAAATCCACATCCGAGAATATTTTTTCCATTGCTTTTCAGAGAGAGTGGAAGGGAGGGGGAGAGAGCAAGAGAGAGAAGGGAACAGGATGTGAGAGAGACACATCAACTGCTTGCCTCCCTCACATGCCCCGACTGGGGTGGGGGTCAGACCTACAACCCGGGTAGGTGCCCTTGACCCGGAATCAAACCTGCGACTCCTTGGTGCATGGGCCAACGCTCTAACCACTGAGATACACGGACCTGGGCTCTCTTTTGGGGGGGGGGCGGGAACCTAATGTATTTGGACATCTTTCATGGCAGGAAACAGAGCTACCTTTTTCTAAGAATTCCTATAGTTTCCTCTGAGTAGATGAATCACAGTTTACTTAATATCAATTAAATAACACATCTCCTCACGTTGGACCCTCAGCTTGGCCCTTTAAGTCCTGCAGACCATTCTGCAGTGGACATTGTTGTGCGTAGACCACGCTGCCCTGTGGAGTCGGTGGAGTGAGCTGTAGATGGATGTGAGCTGGTCCAGGAGTCGTTGCCTATCCTTGGTTACCCCCATGTTCACCCCCAACCCAGGTCCAAAAGGTGTGATCAATGACTGGCGCCGCTTCAAGCAGTTGGAGACAGAGCAGAGGGAGGAGCAGTGTCGGGAGATGGAAAAGCTCATCAAGAAGCTGTCACTGAGCTGCAGATCCCACCTGGACGAAGAGGAGCAGCAACGGAAACAGAAGGACCTGCAGGAGAAGATCAGTGGGAAGGTGATTGGTAGCACCCCGGCTTTCTCAGGGGCCGCCCCTGCAACTGGGGCGAACGATTCAGCAGGTGTAGGGTGTTTGGCTTGGCCTCCGAGAAGCTGTGCAGTGCTGGGGAGAGGATAGAGTCGTGTCAGCTCAGACCCACGTGGGTTTGAGTCTCAGCTCACCCGCCAGTCGTCGTGGGGACACCTCTTCCATTCTGAGTCTGGCTTTTCATTGGTTAAGTGAGGTCAGTGTCCCTGCCTCACAGGGCCGTGTGGGTACAGTCCCTATTACAGTGCCTGCTCCACTGAAGGTGCTCAGTCAGTGTGCTTCCTGTCCTTTATTCAACTCTGACCTTGACCTGGAAGTACCCTTCTGAGGTTGCTGGTACTCTCCCCATTTTATAGATGATGAAAGCGGGGCTTAGGGATGGGAAGGGACTTGCTCACGGCCGTGCAACTAGTAGTAACAGCTAATGGGAACTAGAATGCTAAGCCAGATTTTCCTGCTCTTGTCATGACGCTCCTTTTCGCTGGAATTAATTCTCATAAATTAATGAGAATTTATGCTGATGAGGCAATACAATAGAAGTATAAGGAACGAGGTCACTGACTGTCTCTTCCCAGTATCAGGACTCTGTATTTCATCCCATGCCCTCTGACCACAGATGAATGTCTAGGGGTGCCTAAGATCGTTTGGCTGTGGCCCGAAGCAGCTCTTGGCTGGACGTACCAGCTGGGATCAGGAAGTAGTTAAGGGGATTAAGTGAAGAGCCATTTACCTTGACCAGAAGGATGATTTCAGGGCATTAGACTCAAAGACCCTAATGGGTAGGCTGAGGTGGGGTGGTACTGCTGGCTCTGGTGCCATAACATCTGTTCTGATCTAGTGTGGCCCCCAGCCTCCACCCGCTAATCTGTGCCAGGCGAGGCAGCTGGGCTTTGTAACGGGGGAAGGGCTGTCTTGCTGCACTAGGGCAGGAGAAGGAAGGTGCTTCAGCAACCTCAGCTGGTGCAGGACAGTGTGCCCACCGCTCACCATGCTTCCTTATGCCGAGGAAGCGACACGTCACATGATCACAAGGCACAGCCTTGAGAGAGGCTCTCCCTGCCCTGCCAGGTTGTCTGAAGTAGAACAGAACTGGAAACTGCCTGGATGCCAGAAACGGAAGTGGCAAGGCAAAATATGGCACACGATGTGTGATTTTATAAAAAATATTTGGGAACATGAAATGTTCATGATATAATAATGCTAAGTGGCAAAGCAGGTGACAGCTTAATTTTGACATCCACAACTGCTGTTACGAAAGCAAAAGCCACTTAAGCATGTGACCATGTATTGTATGTGTGCAGGGCCGGGATGATGAGTGTTCCCTTTAGGGTTCCTTAATGTCCTGTTGTGTATTCAACAAAAACAAAATCGTGGATAAAATAACTCTTCCATTGTCAGGACTGACAACAAGGAGAAAGCTGGTGAAGTGCTATTATTCAATGCTACCTATCTGGATGGAGAAGCAGTATTGATATGGTAGTGAAAAACCTGGGTTTGAAAATAACCTAATTTGAATCCTGACCTTACACTTGTCACCTGTGAGGACTTGTGCAAATGAGACTTAGAGCCTCATTTCTAAAGTGAGGAAATTAAGGCTTCTGATGGGGTTCGCACGCATAAGAATTCAGTGAGGTATAAGCATAAAGCCCTGAGTCATAAGCACGCGGCGCATGCGCGTGATGATCACGGGCGCTCGGTTTGTGTTTCTGATGCCCCTCTGCCGGTCCCCCTGCAGATGACTCTGAAGGAGCTGGCCCTGATGAACGACGACCAGGACGACCAGGAGTTCCTGCAGCAGTACCGGAAGCAGAGGATGGAGGAGATGCGGCAGCAGCTGCACAAGGGGCCCCAGTTCAGGCAGGTGTTTGAGATCCCCAGTGGGGAGGGGTTTTTAGACACGATCGACAGAGAGCAGAAGAGCACCCTCATCATGGTCCACATCTACGAGGACGGCATCCCGGGGACCGACGCCATGCACGGGTGCATGGTCTGCCTCGCCGCCGAGTACCCGGCCGTCAAGTTCTGCCAGGTGAAGAGCTCGGTGATCGGGGCCAGCAGCCGGTTCACCAGGAACGCGCTTCCCGCCCTGCTCATCTACAAGGGGGGCGAACTCATCGGCAACTTTGTTCGCGTCACCGACCAGCTGGGCGAAGATTTCTTTGCCGTGGACCTCGAGGCCTTTCTGCAGGAATTTGGATTGCTCCCGGAGAAGGAAGTGTTGGTGCTGACGTCAGTGCGTGACTCTGCCACCTGTCACAGTGAGGACAGCGATCTGGAAATAGATTGAGCCGATAATCTAGCGGCACGGATTTCTCACTGTTTGGGCTGGAAGACGTCGCAGCTCTGTGTTTATTTTCATTCCTTCTTGTGTCTTCTGGCTTCACAGCTATTCTTCATAGTTCCCTTTTGTTATGTGTCAAGTCAAGACATCCTTAGATTAAATCAGAATGCTAAATCATCTTGTGGCTAGCAAGAAAGTGACTTAAAATTGTATAAACAGGAAGCCAGGCTTTTGAACTGTTTACCTAAGATTCTCCAGTATGACATCGTTGCTGTTTCCAGTCAATATTTACATAGCATCCTAAAGACAGTGTCCTGGAAATTGTCTTCAGATGATCTCAAATGCCTGCCCCAGGTCTGAGAGTCTAATTCTATAGTTAGTGTGTTATTGGCAACATAAATAGTACATTTCCTTCATCAAATGATTGTAAATTATATTTAATTGTAATCAGACCCACAGTCCAAGAAGGCAGAGACCCTCTGTTGGGGTCTTATTTTAAGGTTCCAGACAATGTGTGCTTGGCCCATCAAGAGGGGCGACCTCTGCTGCTGGGGTCGATGTGCCCCTCAAGCATTAAGTCTCTAGTAAGGGGAAGGTTCCAGGCTGACCACCCTGTTGATGCTGGAAGACTAGTTTCACTTACAAATGAGAGCTGGGTGGAGCTGGAAAGCCTTTTGAAAGGAGGATCTTTCCATAACATACTCCTCATCTCTTTCTCTCTCTTTTATTTAACAAATTAATTTTTTTGTTTAATGTAGATTTCTTTAAAAACTTTCCTCCCAAGGTGTTTTCTTTGTAGACATTTTGTTTGTTGTTAAAACAGTGGGATCATTCTGGACGTGCTCTTTATAGTATGGTTAGTCAATATAGCAAACTTTTTTTCATGTTATTAAATATTCTCTGCAACATTTTTTAAATGGCTGTTGATATTCCATTGTGTGGATGTGCTGCAATATGCTCATCAGTTGTCTCTTAAAAAGAAAAATAGCACAGACTTTTTATTACAGAAGTAATAGATGTTCATTGTAGAAAATGTTATAAAAATTATTAAGCTAAAAAGAGGTTTAAAAGCCTTATAATTCCACTAACCAAAAAAAAAATCCATTATCATTTGACAGGTATCTTTCTCATCTTGCTGTGTATGTATAATAATGATTGTCATTGATGTGTTTTCCTCTTGTTTTTTTTTTTTTTGCTTTAAAAAAATGTAAATTTTAGGGTCAGGGAAATATAATCTGGAATTAAATATTAGCTTTAAAAGTCTCAGTTTTGCTTTTTCTGGCTGTTTAGGAATTGACTAGCTTTACCATGGGTCTTGAAAATATCTATTGTAGTTAATCAACAAAAAGAAAGTGCTTGGTTTTTCTGATTATAAAAGCTCATTGTAAAAGTGTGGAAAGTACAGAACATTATTAGAATCAGAGACAACTGTTGTCAATGTTCTAGTGTATTTCCTTTTAGTCTTTTTAAATTGTTTTTAATAACATTGAGAACTTACTGAATTTAGTTATATGCTATGTTTTATTTAATATATCATAAATACTTTGCGTTATAAAAATTCTAAATAAATAATTTTTAATGGCTTCATAATATTCCATCATTTGGATATACCATAATTTATTAACCAGTCCCTTAGTATTGGATATTTAGAGTCCCAGTGTTCTGCTAAAACACTTAGCATCTTTGTATTTTGCTCTATATTTTGACTCATTTTCTTAGTATAGATTTCTAGAAGAGGAATTATTGGGCAGTGAACTGGAATGTTTAAAAATAGCTTTCAGCCCTGGCCGGGTGGGTCAGTTGGTTAGAGAGTTGTCCCATACACCAAAAGACTGTGGGTTCAATTCCCAGTCAGGGCACATAACCTGGGTTGCGGGTTCGACCCCTGGTTGGGGTGTGTGCAGGAGGCAACTGATCGATGTTTCTCACTTTGATGTTTCTCTCCCTCTCTCTTAAAAAAAAAAATACCTTTCACAAGCCATCTTTTGTTCTTATTGGAAATGAAAATACATTATGCTCTCACAGAACCTTGCCTTTGCCTTTTAAGAATGGAAATTCTAAAGTAAACAGGTGGCATGGGGAAATCCTAGTGTTAACTCTCCAACTCAGGTATAGTGCAAACAGCACAGGTTTTGGAGTCAGATCAGGGTTCAAATCCTGCTGTCACTAGGGGATTAGCTTCCTCACCTTTGCAATGGGAGCAATATCTGTTTCATAGGTGGTTCTGTGACCCTGTTTCTCAAGGTGTGGTCCCAGAGCAGTGGCAGCAACTTCCCTGCTATCATTCGGTATTAGATTTTATGAAAAATGTGAAGTTTCCCATAAGTGTGAGATGTGAACATCTTGGTGACTTGAACGACCTTGTCTCCTGTTGGGTAATCCCATCTTGAGCATGTGTGGTTGCCAAAGCTGAATCGTAGTTGTTTGTTTACATATCAGACTATAAAGTCCTTGGGGACAGGGACTGTGTCATTTCTGGTTTCTGATCTAAGTTGATATAAGTGAACGTTTGCTGCTTAAGTGGGGGATATTCCCTAGTGGGTTGGAATTTACCAGGCAGAAGGCTTGTATGTATTTTTCAGGAATGCTACATATCTGATCAGAGGAGTACTACTACGTACCTCTACTCACTGAGAGCCAGATCACAAATTCAAGTTAAATCCCAAGCCCTGCCAGGGCGTGTGAAACTGCTGGTTATAACCCGATATGACCACGTGGTGGCAGCAGAGGAGAGGGAACAAATAGTTTTGCTGCGAAGTAAGAGCCACAGACTGGATTTGGGGCCTGAGGATGATTGATGTCTAGCAACATATATGAGTCATTTTAGAGAATTTGTTTTTAAGAAAGAGAACCAGAAAGTTCACTCATTTTAAATAATGAGTAACAAAACAAGTCTTTGATAAATACAACAGATACACACTTTCATATTATGGTCGATTAAGTTTGAGAGAAAAGCTGGCCCAGGGAGAGAAGAGGGAGGCAGTGGGCACCCACCAGTCCCCATGTTAAAAGTCCCATCATTTACCCCCGATGACTTCTTGGCTCTCTCACCTACCTAAACTAGTGAGAGTGACTAACATATATTAAAATTTACTATGTGCCAGGTCATTGTTCCAGCACTTTCTTAGAAAATTTTCATAACAATCCCTGAGAGAGATCATCACCCTTAGCTGGCAGTTTACAGTTTGCCCGAGGTATGTGTGTGTAAGAGTTCAGATGCAGGCAGCACCTCATCTTTAAATAGTTATGTGGCATGAAGTGAGGAGGAATCTCTTGTAGGAAATGAGAGGTGTGAGGGAGAGAATCACTTTAGTATTTGATATTCTAAATGTCGTACATTGGTTCAGCAAAAAAAATTTAACACATTACATACTAAAAACACTGAATTGTATACTTTAAAAGGATGTATTTTATGGTATATGAATTATGTCTCAATAAAACATTGAAAATAACACATCACACTGAAAGGCAAAAACAATTCATGTGAACTCTGCATAGAGAAGGGTTTACTTTTTTTTTTTTTTAAATATAACTTTATTGATTTCAGAGAGAGGAAAGGACAGGGAGAGAGAGAGACAGAAACCTCAATGATGAGAGAGTCATTGATCAGCTGCAGCCCGCAACCCAGGCATGTGCCCTGACCGGGAATCGAACCTGATCGCCTGGATCCTAGGTCGATGCTCAACTGCTGAGCCACGCCCGGCTGGGTGAGAAGGGTTTTCTAATAATAACACTGGCAGAAGAGTCACAAGGAGATTTTTAAAAATTGGTTTCATCTATGTAAATTGAAAACTTATGTATGTCAAAAATAAAAAATAAAACTAAGGGATGAAAGGTGATTGGGCAAAGTTTGCATCATATGTAAGAAAAAGTAAACTTTAAAATTTTAATACAGAAAGAACTTAGATAAGTCTTTAAAATAGTCAAATGACATGAAGAAATAACAGAAGTGTGAACAAAATTTATTTACAATCATTAGCAAGCAAAAAATTAAACAAAAGAGGTACCTTTTTTGCTTATTATATTTGCAGAAATTAAGTCAACAATTATAACAGAAAGTACTAGTAGGATGCAGAGAAGGGAGGACTCTCAGAATGTAAGCTGGACTGTAAATCATTAACAGTTCTGTAAAGTCTTTTGGCAACATGTATCACAAGCCAGAAAAATGTTCCATCCAGCAACTTCATGTCCGAAAATTTATTGTAAAGACCTGGGGAAATCTATATAGGTGGTTTATTTACAATGATTTTCATTATGTTATTAGTTATAATAGTAAGAATAATTAGAAAAATCTAATAATTCAAAATGGAAGATTATATATAAATATGATGCCTGCTTATGCTATAATATTAATTATAAAATGGTTTATGGAGATTTAATAATAATAGTGTGGAAAACATTCATCTTATAAGATCATGTGAAAAAATCAGCATCTTCACAATATCAGAGAAACATACAGAGAAAAGACCGTAAGAGTTTGTGTAAAGTATCCACAGTGGTTTCTTTTAAGAAGGGATTTAAAGTGTTTTCTTTATATTTTAGACATTTACTGTAATGACATGAATGGTTTCTCGGAGAAAAAATAAAACAAAGTTTAAAAAGTAAAGAATAAAGACTGGTCACAACTAACAAGAAACAAAATCATCTGCCGGAGAAAAAGATCTAATCCCAGATACAGGACAGTAGACAAATCTCTTAATCGTTCTGTGCCTAAGATCCTTTTCTAGAATATTCTTGCCCCTTTCAGGCCACACGCAGATTCTTTGTACTTGGTGTCATATACTTCATGTTGAGACCAATGAGTGCATTTCTTCCAAGGAAGGGTCAGAATTGGCCCCTGAAGCCCAGTGACTTGACTGAGGTCCTGACCTGCCTCGTCTTGCCATTATTTCTTGTCAGGGAAGAATTTACGGTCCTACATGATGCTCCTATTGGGTTTCCTCCTAGAAGTTAAGTGTTTGCTGGTGTTTTTAGTGTTCCCAACTCTGGGTAGAATCTGCTTGGGTATGTATACCCACTCATCAAGTCACCCTGTAGGGACTGCTGGTCACTCACTCTCTCCAGGCTGCAGCTCTGTCCTTGGCCCGTTGGTCCAAAGTCAGAATCTTCATTTTCTTGAATCTGCTCATAAGGCTAAGCATCCATCCTGTCTTAACTGAGAGTCTTTCAAATTTATAAATGGTCGAGTTCAGGGAAGAAGGCTCGTTGAAAAGTCTGGGCTCCTACTCTGGGGAAGGGTTTTTATGGGCTGGAACATCTTCCCCAACTCAAGAGTCTCCACAAAGCCCCCTTCATGTCCCTGTTCCTCAGGCTGTAGATAAAGGGGTTCAGCATGGGGGTCACCGTTGTGTATACCACAGATGCCACCATTCCAGTGTCTGCTGAGTAGGAGGATGAGGGCTGGAAATACACCAGAAAGACTGTCCCATAGAAGAGAGTGACCACTGACAGGTGAGAGCCACAGGTAGAGAAGACTTTGTGCTTCCCCCCAGCAGAGGGGACCCTGAGGATGGTGTGGATGATGTGGGCATAAGAGACCAGGACACAGGTGAGAGGGATCACCCCTGAAAGGGCTGCTTCAGTGAACATCATGACCTGAAAGATATGGGTGTCTGAACAGGCCAATTTGAGGAGTGGGAGAAGATCACAGAAGAAGTGTGGGATGGAGTGGGAGGCACAGAAGGAGAGCTGAGACATCAGGAGAGTGAGTGAGAAGGCCAGGAGGTGGGAGCAGAGCCAGGATGCAGTGACTAGCCCCAGGCAGCGCTGGGGACACATGATTGTGATGTAGTGTAGAGGAAGACAGATGGCCACGTAGCGGTCATATGCCATCACAGCCAGCAGGAAATCATCCAGCAGGGCCAGTGCCATGAAGCAGTACATCTGCAGGAGGCACCCAGCATGGGAGATGGTGTGGTGCTGGGTGTGGATGTTCACCAACACCTTGGGGACAATGGTGCAGGAGAAGCAGGTGTCAATGAAGGACAGGTTGGCCAGGAAGAAGTACATGGGGGTGTGGAGGTGCTGGTCAGAAGCTATGGCCAGGATGATGAGCAGGTTCCCCACCAGGGTGACGAGGTACATGGCCAGGAAGAGCCCAAAGAGGAGGGGCTGCTGCTCTGGGTGTTCAGAGAAGCCCAGGAGCAAGAAGTCAGAGGCACTGGTTCGGTTTCTAATTTCCTTTTAAGGCAGAGAAATTAGAGAAGGATCTTGCTTAAATAAAGATGGGCTCCAAATATCGCAGAGTCCAAGGACTATGATGTTTTCTCTATTCCTTGAAGAGGTCACTGAGATTCACTGGTAGCTGTAACTGCTGGTTTGCATATATGTACAGATATAAGGGCTATGGACTATGACAATGAGGCATCAGGGTGAAAATGTAGTTTGGATTCTAGATTCCTGTAATGTGGCAAGTTTTCCCCATGACTGTCTGAGACTGAAGTGGGATTCACCTAGAAGAATGTAATTCCCTTTTTAAAAAACGTTAGAACTTTAGTCCTAATTTCATTATCTTAGTGTGGAGCTCATTTTAGCGTCATGCATATACTAGGATTTACTTTGCAAAACGGGGTGCTTAGTATGTGTTTGTGTGTATTTAGGGAAATGAAAACAGGACTAGTTTCTTCAGAGAGGAGCCAGTTAGACTTAGGGATCTCTAGGTGGGCTGGGAGATCATTCCAATTAGCCAGTGTGGTTATGAGAACGTTGAACACTGAAAATCACTTTATCATAAGGGCCCATTGCTTTCATTTTACTCCTCAGTCTCACCATCAACATCTTTTGTTTTAATATCGGGGCTTTGGCATTCTGATGTTGGGATGGGAATCCTTTCTCTGTTCCTTATCCTCAGTCTGACCTTGGTCAGTTACTTAACTCTGAACCTCTGTTTCCCAGTTTGTAACCATGTGTAACTACTTCACAGAGTCATTAAAGTTATTATTGCGATAATACATATGGAGGGCACCTTGTGTTACTATCAAGGGGAGTGATATAACTGTCATTGTCAGCAGTAGTTGATGAAATGTGAACTTGGGACACTCGATGTAGTGGAAAAGCATAGGATGACTTGCTTTCCGGTTGTGCTTCTCAATGCCTTTTAAACTTGGGAAATGTTTACTCCTTCTGACTGGGGTTTTTCTTATCTATAAGACAGAGATAATAACCCTACCTGATAGGCTTGTCGAAGAGACCAAATTCTGGAATTAGTTGAAGTTTTTTCGTGCACCATGATGTGCAATCAAGATGAGAAGTCCCAACGTTCCTGTTTGATGGTGTGGAGGAATGAATGTGATGGCCCGTCAGTGGCAACACGGGCTAATATTATGTTTGTTTAGTGTCGTGATTAAAAATATAATATAGCCCGGCCGGGCGTGGCTCAGCGGTTGAGCGTCGACCTAGGATCCAGGCGATCGGGATTCGATTCCCGGTCAGGGCACATGCCCGGGTTGCGGGCTCGATCAATGACTCTCTCATCATTGATGTTTCTATCTCCCTCTCTCCCTCACCTCTCCTCTCTCTGAAATCAATAAAGATATATTAAAATATATATATGTACATATATATATGTAATATACCCTCTGGAGTCTGACAGAATTTTCCCACACTTCACTCTTGATGTGATCCTGAGAAAGTCACTTAACCTTTCTTTTGGCTTCAGCTTCTACATCTGTTTAAATGGGATAATAGAGTTTATTGGGTAGAGTGGTTGTGAGGATTAAATTAGATTAAAAAATGATTATATAACATTTAGACCAAAGCTGGCACATAGTAAATGGTCAATAATATGATCTGTGATTGTCATTGCTGTTTTTTAATAAAATGAGGATGCTTTGTTGTTGCGTCCTGTTCACTGCCTGCAGGTTGGGCTTGTAAATTTCGAGATGTCAACACTAACTGTCATCATCACCCTGGCTGGTTTGGCTTAGTGGTTAGAGCATTGGTCCGCAGACTGAAGGGTCCCAGGTTTGATTAAGGCCAGGGGCATATACCTTGGTTGCAGGCTCGATCCCTGTCCCGGGTGGGGGGGCATTCGAGAGGCAACCAATCTATATGTGTCTCTCACATTGATGTCTCTCTCTCTCTCCCTTCTACTCTCTCTCTGAAAAGCAGTGGAAAAAATATCCTTTGGTGAGGATTAAAAATAAATGATTTTTAAAAAGTCATCATCATCAACATCATCATTGTCATCATCATTATCAGCATCACCTTTGAAGGATTATGACTAGTCAGAACTGTCAATGGCAAAGCATTTGTTTTGGCATGGGGAAACCAAGTATAAACTTGGATAAATAACTTATTCACAAGAGCCCCCAAATTATTAATCATACAATAGGAATAAGTAAGTCTTTCTTAACTGTTATTTGTTGGCTCAAATTTCAAGAGAGAGAAAGAATGTGAATGAGTTTAATAAACTTTAAGTGGATGTAGAGGAATTAACTACTGGCATTGAGCTGGTGTGTGGCTGAGAGTGATTCTGGGAACCATGCCCGTCTGAGTGGACTGAGATTGAGCTATGCTTCGTTACTGCATAGGTGCTATGTCCTGGTTACAGAGGGGGTTTGCGGAGGGGTGGTCTGGGATCCATTCTACACAATTCCTGCAGTCTTAACTGTTGGGGATGTGATGCACACCGGGACTAGACACCCCACATGGTGATCAGAAGAACCCGAAAATGACTGGCAGTTAGGGATGTAGGAAAGAAAAGGGTAAAGAAAAGAGGGAGAAGCTCTATTTTCTGTGTGTGTGTGTGTGTGTGTGTGTTCTATGGGCTGTGTGCACGCCCGTGTGTTTGCACATGTGAGCCTTAGGTAGCCTCTGCTCGCACACTCTCTCTCTCTCTTCATCCCTTTGCCTCAGCTCTTACCTGGAGACGCTGGGCAGCATCAGTCTCCAACACTTCCAAAAAGTAGACTGAGTTTGCTATCCTGTTGTCTCCCCGAGAAGTCATGGCTGGAGTCTCAGAGCCCTTCCCTGCCTGTAGGAGTAGCACAGACTGAAGACTCGGGCGCTGAGCGGCGTCTCCGGTACAGGAGCCAGGAGGAGCTGCTGACTTTTCACAGGCAGTGTCTCCCGGGACCCATCCTCAGACCTCCGCGTTGCAGACAAGATGGGGCAACTGTCCAACGCCCCAGCTATCCCCTCCAGACTGCGGCCCCCTGAGTTCCAGCAGGGCCACTGATAATTCCACTCAGAGCCACCAGAGCTGGGATCCGCGCGGACTCCTGGTGTTTCCCTCGGGTGAGGTGCAGCCTGGCTCCCCCGCTCAGCCTGGGCCCTGAACAGGCCTCATCTCTCACGAAGTCCACACTTCCTGATTTGAGCCGGTCCTCGACGACGAAATACAGCATGTCCTAGAAAATAAGTAAAAAATAAAGATAAAACAGATGGGAGGCCACACCATCACTGCCCTCACATGTCTATGACCCCAGAGCACAGCCATACGAATGATATGTAGACTCTATCTAAGGCCCAAGGGGTGATCTCTGGATTTATTTACTTATTTTCATCGCAAATGTATCTCGCGTACGAAAGAGTGAATAACGTAAATATGCGCTGTTTAAAGAGTAATGAGAAAAGTAATACCCGTTCTCCGACCGCTTGGCTTCAACAATATATGGCGCAACCCTTCAGAAGCCCCGCGGACACGTCTTTTCAATCCTACTCCTTTCCTCCGCCGTTAGAGGAAATCACCACCGTGAATACTGCGTACGACTTTCTTATTTTTCTTGGTGGTTTTGCCACGTCTGCGCTGTCCGGGGTGGTGGTAGGGAAGACGTGACCTCAGGCTGACCCGAGAGCTGCATCCGGGCAATTGAGGCCCCTCACTCCCGCCTCTGGCCTTAGACCGGAAGTTCTCCCCTCGGTTCCCAAGGACCGGAAGTTCTCCCCTCGGTTCCCACGGCGGGCGCCATTTTCAAGGACGCAGCCTTGGGAGAGCGACGTGACGTTGAGACCGTTGGGACCGCGTGTGTACATACCGCTGAACCCCGTTAAAGCGTCTGCGTGAACTTGAAGGTTCTGGCGGCGGGTGCGAGACCTACTCTTCGTGTGGCGCCAGGACGAGCGGTAAGTCCCCTTGCTTGTTAAGCCTGCCACCCGCCCGTCTGGAGAGGCCTGGCTCCCCTCAGCCTCTCAGCCCGCCGTGTTCCCGGCCTGTTTGCCAGCCGACGTCCGTATGTGTCTCCACTGTATGCGGTAGTCGTCGGGTTGGCCCACTGTGTGTCTTTTGTCTTAATGGAATTATACTGTTTTGTAAGTTGCCGTAAGTTGCTGGTTGCGCTCAGCATTATTCTCTCAGGGTGCATGTAGCCGAAGGGCACTCTTCGTCACTGTTGTCTCATAGAGGTCACAGCCGCTCACGATAAGCTCTTGTTACCGGCTGAATTTCAGCCTGCAGAGCTTTGGGATTTGGGGTTATATGTACGTTGACCCCGAGTCCTCGGCGGTTTCTGGGGGAGCAGTCCGTAATCAGATGCGCAGTGTTTCCACAAAGGAATGAGCGAATAGTCACACAAAGTCCAACTGAAGTAGACTACTAATAGCCTTGTGTAAAGTCGGATCATGTTTTCCTGCTGAGTTCACTGTAACCCTTAAAAAATCTCTCTCTTGTCAGAGCTCTGTGATAGAAACGCGGATAGATATTCTGGTGGGATGTGGTAATATTTTGTTGTATTTTTTCTAAAAAATGAAATAGTGAAGTAAAACAAATACAGAAAACTGCACGGAACTCAAATATGCCACCAAAGGAATTACTAGGAACTGATCACCTAAGTACCACTTCCCGGCGTCCCTGCGGAAGCTCCATTTTTGTATCCTGCCCATCCTTACTTTTCTCTCCAAGTAAACTAATCCCGATCTTCTTTCTGACATTTTATGTTAGCGTTGACTGTTTTTGAACTTTGCGTAAATGCACTCATACGTTATGTATTATTTTGTATCCTCTTTTTTTTTCACTATTTTATTTTAGGGAGATTCATCTGGAGAGCTGTACCTAGTGGTAGTTTGTTCACTTCCATTGCTGTGAGTTGCTCCGTTGTATGACAGCACCCTATATTACTACTCATGCAGTCTATTAAGGAAATAGTTGGCTGCTTGGCTATTAGGATTAATGTTATGATGATCATCCTTGTATATATTTCTTGGTACACAAGTGCATTCTTTTCAGTTTTGTACATACTTAGTTGCTGGGTTCTAGGATGTCCATATCTAAAATTTTAGTATATAATGTCAAACTGACTTCCAAAGAGACTACCAAATTGCATGTTTACCAGCAATATGTGAGGGTGCTGGTTTCACCACATCCTTGGTAATACTTCGTGGTGTCAACCTTTTTCATTGTAGGCATTTTGGTGTGTGTGTATTGGGGGGCATCTCCTGAGGGTTTGAGTTTATTTTCAGTGATTAATAGAGTACCTTTTAGCCCCGCCGGCGTGACTCAGTGGTTGAGCGTCGACCTAGGAACCAGGAAGTCACGGTTTGATTGCTGGTCAGGGCACATGCCCAGATTTTGGGCTCTATTGCCAGTAGGGGGCGTGCAGGAGGCAGCTGATCAATGATTCTCCCTTATTGATGTTTCTCTCTCTCTCCCCTTCTCCCTTCCTCTCTCTGAAATCAATTAAAGAAAAAAAAAGTACCTTTTAAATATTTCTTCTTTTTATTTCCTAATTTTGAAACTGCTTGTTTAAATGTTTGTTCATTTTTTCCATTTAGTTATCTGTCATATTCTAATTTATATATAGAACTATTTAAATGTTCTAGATACTAGTCTTTTGTTATTTATATATTACAAATATTTTCTCTATCTTTGTGGTTTGTCTTTTCACTCCTTTTTACAGTGCTATTTGCTAAGTAAATAACACGTGCAGAAAACTGCACAAAACACACATATACTACCCAAGAAATTATTACAAATGTTTTATTTTAATTAATTGAATTCATCATTTTCCTTTTTTCTTGTTGCTTTATTTGTGTCTGATTTAAGAAATCCTTTATTCCCTGAGTTCAGGAAGATATTTTCCAGCATTATCTTCTAAAAACCTTATAATTTTGCTTTTTATAATTGATCTGGAATTGATTATTGTGTATGTTGTGAAGTGGGGGTGTCTATTTTTAATTTGCTTTTTACAAGAAGACAGCTTATTATTAATTTGGTTCATCTATAGACTCTTTTGAATCACAGTTGTATGAAAATATCATCTGTGAATAAAATGCAGCTTTGTTTCTTCCTCTAGAGAATTTAAATCTTTTATTTATTTTTCTCACCCTACTGCACTGGAGGTGAGCTCAAGTACAATGTTAAATAGTTGTGGGGTAGCTGGTATTTTGTTTTGTTCCTCACTTGGAGAGGAAAGATTTCATTCTTATGAACCTTTATATCAGCAATAATGCTTTTTGCTTTAAAATCTATTTGTTTGATAATAATAGAGCTATGCCAATACTTTTATGGTATATACTTTTTCAATTCTTTATTTCCAAACTTCTTGTATTTTTATATTTATTGAGCAAAAATTTCATTGAAGAAATAGTTATTGAAGCATACAGAAAGTGTACAAACCATACATGTATAGTGCAATGAATTTTCCCAGAATGAGCACACTCATATCACCAGCACTCAGATCATGAAAGAGCATGATCAGCACCCCAGAATGCTTCTTCAAGTCCCTCTTCAAAGGCAGTCAGCATTTATACTTGTTAATAATGGTATAACACAAAGCAGAGAGGAATCACTTATAGAAAGTGAGGATGTGTTAGAGAAAACCACTTTAACTATATGATTTCCTCCTAAAATAATATATGATTACATTAAAAATATTATATTCTATAAGAATAACAAATTGGCTATTTGAAGAAATTCTGCAAAGGGAAGGATTTTAAAATTATAACTTCAACAAAGGAGGTAAAGAGGAAAATGTCTTAATTTGATAATAAACAAAATAAAAACTTTTTTACATAAAAAAAATCACAAAGTTAAGATAAAGAACTGGTTTCTGGTCAAGATGGCACAGTAGGTAAATGCGGTACTTGAATCCTCCCACAACCACATCAAAATTACAACTAAACTACAGAACAACCATCATTCAGGATTGCCTGAAATCTAGCTGAATGGAAGTTCTACAGCTAAGGGTTTAAAGAAGAAGCCACATCAAGACTGGTAGGAGGGGTAAAGAAGAGGAACGGACTTGTCCCACACCCATGTGTGGGAGATAAAAGTCAGGAGGGATATCTCCGCTGCAGAGGTCCGCCATGAGGAATGAAGAGTCCCAGCCCTACACCAGGCCTCCCAGCCCAGGGTTCCAGGACTGGGAAGATAAGTCCTCATGACTCTGGGCTGTAAAATCCAGCAGTTGAGCTTCGACCTNCCTCTCCCTTCCTCTCTCTGAAATCAATAAAGATACATTTAAAACACAAAACAAAACAAAACAAAAAAACTCAGCGGGAATTGAGGCTGAGGATAGACGTAGGGCTGCTGGATTCCCAGGCAGTTCCTCTTAAAGGGCCTACTAATGGACTTATTTACTCGGACTCAATCCCTCTGAGCTCCAGTGCTGGGATAGTAGCTCAAACGATATCAGGGACATGTGGGAAGAAACTGAATTGTTTGGCATCAGGGCAAGAGCTGGAGGGGCAGCTTTCCCCCAGACAAAAGTGCTGGCAGAGGCCTTTGTTTCTTTTCTGAGCCATCCCCACACAGAGCCAGCAGGCAAAGAGCCATATGTGAGTCTTCATCAACCTGGCTCACACTGTTTGCCTAGCCCTGATGATTCCCTGAGACCCTGCCTCACCCAGTTTGTATGCCCACTCAAACTGTTTCTAGTGGCTTTTCCCAATGAATGGCCTGTCTTGGCTTATGCTTCAGACTTTCCTAAAATTCCTCAAACAAGCAGCATTCGCCTTTGGTGTGCTCCCTGAGGGCCTGAGTTTCCAGTCTGGGGAAGGACTCTTTGCTGAGTAGAGTATTTTCCCCAGCCCAAGAGTCTCCACAAAGCCCCCTTCATGTCCCTGTTCCTCAGGCTGTAGATAAAGGGGTTCAGCATGGGGGTCACCATTGTGTATACCACAGATGCCACCATTCCAGTGTCTGCTGAGTAGGAGGATGAGGGCTGGAAATACACCAGAAAGAGCGTCCCATAGAAGAGAGTGACCACTGACAGGTGAGAGCCACAGGTAGAGAAGACTTTGTGCTTCCCCCCAGCAGAGGGGACCCTGAGGATGGTGTGGATGATGTGGGCATAAGAGACCAGGACACAGGTGAGAGGGATCACCCCTGAAAGGGCTGCTTCAGTGAACATCATGACCTGAAAGATATGGGTGTCTGAACAGGCCAATTTGAGGAGTGGGAGAAGATCACAGAAGAAGTGTGGGATGGAGTGGGAGGCACAGAAGGAGAGCTGAGACATCAGGAGAGTGAGTGAGAAGGCCAGGAGGTGGGAGCAGAGCCAGGATGCAGTGACTAGCCCCAGGCAGCGCTGGGGACACATGATTGTGATGTAGTGTAGAGGAAGACAGATGGCCACGTAGCGGTCATACGCCATCACAGCCAGCAGGAAGCCATCCAGCAGGGCCAATGCCATGAAGCAATACATCTGCAGGAGGCACCCAGCATGGGAGATGGTGTGGTGCTGGGTGTGGATGTTCACCAACACCTTGGGGACAATGGTGCAGGAGAAGCAGGTGTCAATGAAGGACAGGTTGGCCAGGAAGAAGTACATGGGGGTGTGGAGGTGCTGGTCAGAAGCTATGGCCAGGATGATGAGCAGGTTCCCCACCAGGGTGACGAGGTACATGGCCAGGAAGAGCCCAAAGAGGAGGGGCTGCTGCTCTGGGTGTTCAGAGAAGCCCAGGAGCAGGAAGTCAGAGGCACTGGTTTGGTTTCTAATTCTCATTTAAAGTGAAACATTTGGAGGAAAATCTTGCTTAAATATACGTAGATTCCAAAAAGTTATATAAATCAAAGCCTTTCATTTGTTTTCTGCATTCTTTTCAGACGTCACAGAGATGCGCTGGTGTCTCTTGGCAGCAGTCATGCAAACATGTACAGAGGTGAGGCCTATGGACAGTAATAGTGGGAGGTCTTGTTGGGTGTGACCTTTATATTTTAGTTGTTTAGCACGTTTTCCTGTAGACCTGGATGCGGTTGAACTGGAGATTAGATGGGAAGAAACTTCCTAGTCTTAGTCTATCTCCCTCCCCCATTTCTAATAGATAAGCTATCAATTTCATAGGCTTATAAAATTTGAATGAGATATCTGAGGATATATATTTATTAGAAAATTATTAAGCACAGTTTCCTCCCTCCTTTTCTCTCTCTCTCTTTCTCTCTCTTGTGTGTGTGTGTATGTAAGGTTAGAAAGGAATAACTAATTGCATAGATAGGTCATAGCTGAGACTCAGGTATTCTGAGTATGATGGGAGTATCTTCTCTCTCTTTCTTTTGAAGACCCATGAAATGAACTAATGCTGATAAAATTACTTTATAAACTCAAAGGCATTTTGCAAATGAAAGTTCCCATCATCATCATCATCAGTCCTTTGGAGTGTTAGCTTTGGTGTCCTATAGAATAGATAGAAACCCTTTCTGGCTGTGTTATCCTCAGCAACTTAAATATTCTCGTATCCTCTCTGAGCTTCAGTTTCCTAGTCTATAAATTATGTGCGTACTTTGTATACTTATTGTAGATAATCAAGGAGATGACATTTAAAGCACTAGCACAGAGCAGACCTTCAATAAATTGTGATAACTTATTAATATTGCTAGTAGTAGTAGATAAAATGGAACTTGGGCTTCCTGAGGCAATAGACACTTAGAGAACGTGCCTCCCACCTCTAAACCCTCATTGCTTTTTATATTTTGAGTAAATTATTTCCTCTGTACCTAATTTTCTTCATTTGTAAGATGTGGACATAAAGCTACCATACAGGACTGATGAAAGCATCAAAATGTTGGAATCAGTTAAAGGTTTTTTTCAGGATCTATGATATAAACCCAAAAAGAGAGGTTTTATCTTGTGCATTTGGTGGTGTGGAAGGTTGAACATACAGGCAATATGAGCCTGTGCTAATGTCATGCTCTTTGATGTGGTGATAGAACTCCCTCCCTCTAGGTCTGACAAATCCCCATTTGGCCACCAGTCCTCCTGTGTGCTGTAACATTGAACAAGTTTGCTCAGTGTTTCTGGCCTCAGTTTCTGCATCTGCTTGAAGGTGATAACAACAATACCTAATTCGTAATGTTGTTGCAAGGATTAAGTTAGATTAAGTATCCCACAGACTAGAACAGTGACTGGCTTATATCAAAAGCTTTTCCTGCTATTACTGTTTTCCTTGATGGCATTAACAAAAGGAGGGTACTTTCTGGAGTGACCAACTAGTCCTCTGTTTGCCCAGGACTTTCTTGCTTTTAAAACTGAACATCCCTTAGCCCTGGGTAAACTGGACTCTTTCTTGGTGACCATCTGTGGGAAATTGGGCTTTGAAAATCGTAAAGTTTCATATATAGAGTTGCAAGTGTCATTGTCATCAGTATCATCATTATGATCCTTGGGTGGATCCTTGGTACACAGACCTAGTGGTACCAAGATAAAGCATCCACTTTGATATGTGCAGACACAGGTGTGAGCCCTAGCTGTGTCATCTTGATCAAATCATTTAGCTTCTCAGAATCTCAATTGGAAAGTGAGCTTGAATAAATCTACCTTAAATAATTCTGAGACTCAAGTTAAAAACTTGGAATAGGGCTTGCTGAACTATCGATTTCTGTGGAGATTATGACTTTTCTTGGGTGGTGGTATAGAATAATTCTGAAAGCCACTCATGATTAGGTGGGCTGAGAGTGAATTATCCATGCATAGCACAGGGGTCCTGAGCACTGTTGTTACAGTTTTAATGTATTGGCCATTGTCCGGGGCTTAGGGATGGTGGATCAACACTGACTTCAGGCTGGACTCTCAGGGAGTTCATGAATATTAATTAAGGCCTTCCTCATGGTGGTTAAGAGAGCCAGGTTGTATTTGACTGAGAGTGAAGAAGGGGCAGGAAAGGAGGAAGAAATCAGAAAGGAGATGTTTTTGTGTGTGTGTGTGTGTGTGTGTGTGTGTGTGTGTGTGTGTGTGAGAGAGAGAGAGAGAGAGAGAGAGAGAGAGAGAGCGAGAGCGAGAGAGCAAGAGAGCAAGAGCAGTATAGAGATCAGTATCTCCTGTGTCTACTCCTTTCAGGTCTTACCTGGAAATTCTGACCGTCCTCAGATCCCATCGCCATCACCATCACCAGGTGTTGGGTCTGCCTCCTCTCTTTGGTTTTCCTTTCCTACTTCTCTGCAAGACCACTTGCTGGAACCTCAGTTTCCTTCCTTCCCTGTAACAGCAGCTCAGACTGAAGGCTCTGGCTGGAGAAACCTGTGCTCAGGCACAGGAGCCAGGAAGAGCTGTGGACTTTTCAGAGGCAGTGTCTCCTGGGACCCAATCCCAGACCTCTTAGTTAGAGACAAGATGGGGCAAATGTCCAACTCCCAGCTGTCCCCTCTGGGCCCTGGATTCCTGAGTCCCAGCAGTGTGAGGAATATCTGTGTTTCAGGCCTGGAAATCCTGAGAGCACTGTCCTTGGTACCCTCTCCTGGACACGGGTGTGGAAGGGCTCCATCTCTACCCCCCATCCTAACCTGCTATGGAGTCTATACTCTCTAAATCAGATTCCAGTCCTCATAAAGAAAACCCGTGTATGGTATCAGCTGGGTATGAGATTTATTGGGATAATCATTTAATCCATTATGTAATGTCGAGTCACTGGGTTGTGCACCTGAAACTAATATAATATTATATGCTGACTGTAATTGAAAAAAAATTATTTCAAGTAAAAAAAAAAATCAGAAAATTGAAAAAAAAAAAAGGGAAAACCTGTCATAGTAGTTAGACAGTCACATACTTTACATAGTGTTCCCCTCAGTATTTCCAGTCTAATGAATATGCTGTAAACCTGAAACCAATAAAAAAATAATATTGAAAGTAAACTGTAATTGCAAAAATAAGAAAATCTATTATTTCCCATTAAAGAAATAGTAATAAATGAATTGAACAGATTTCATGTAAGGTGGGCCACACAATCATTGTCTTCAAATTCCTACAGTCCTGTATGTAGAAAAAGTGAACAAACTTGTTTCCTGTGACTTGACAGGGTAGAGATATGGCTCATCTATAAAAATCTGCTGAAGTCATAGGGACTTCTCTATAAAAATTTATTGGTGATTTAAAAAAATGTTTATTGATTTTCAGAGAGAGAGAAAGGGAGAGAGAGATAGAAACATTGTTCAGCTGCCTCCTGCATGCCTGCTACTAGGGATCAAGCCCGAAACCCGGGCATGTGCCCCAACAGGAGATCAAACCAGTGACTTCTTGGTGCACAGGTCGACACTCAACCACTGAGCCACACTGGCCAGATTATTGGTGATTTTTATATAAAATTATTGCAAATGTGATGGCCAGATGGTGTTTCTTCTAATTCTGTTATTTCTAGTATGTTTATTAGGTGTATTCTCCTATAGGAAGGGACTTACTGCTATTTCCCATTCATTATTTGTTTGTTTATTTATATAATTATGGACTCATGGACTCTTATTCTCTGTTATAGTCAATTACCGTTATTCATTTTGTAGCTTTGGGTGTGTTTATTGGTTACAAGGATTCTAAATGATCTCAGAGAAGCCAACTGGGAAATATGTATAAAAGAAACACAAGAAAGAAAAACTAGCAACTAAGAAATTAAAGGAATGTTTACCCACAGGAGGTGATCAGGAGTGGGACAGGAAGAATAGGGGATGGGAACAGTATAGATGTTGATATGTAACATACAAATTGCAATCTATTTATACATTTTAAAACCCATGAGTTCAAATTGATATCTCCAGTTCTAGTTTGACATCACAGAGCTCTTTCCAGCCTATTCTTTCTGATGTCCATAGCTCCTTTCCCGAGATTGAGGAGTCACTCCCTTTTCCTGAGTGTTCACATATTTGCTGAATCTTTGGATACATGGTGCGTTGTTTCAGAATCTTGAACTCACACCACTGTCAATGACACACTAACTCCAGCTTAACACTTTGTTTCCCATTGTGTGTTTTTTTTACTTTTTTTTTAAAAAAAAATATCTTTATTGATTTCATAGAGAGGAAAGGAGAGGGATAGAGAGATAGAAACATCCATGATGAGAGAGTCATGGATTGGCCGTCTCCTGCATGCCCCTGACTGGGGATCGAGCCCGCCACCCGGGCTGTGCCCTGACCAGGAATCGAACCCCAAATGCCTGGATCCTGGGTCCAAGCTCATCCGCTGAGCCACACCCGGCCGGGCTCCCGTTGTTTTTTTAAATTGTGAGAGATTTAGACATAATTCTGGGTTCAAGAATTACTTAGTTTACTTGTTGTATTTTCCCCTTTGGTCTAATTATGGTGCTAATTTGAAAAAAAGTTCGGTTGATTGGATTTGTTTTCTTCTATTTTGACTTATTTAATCACCTCTTTTATTTATTTTTTAGTGGCAAAAGACAGCATAATCTGAACTACACAAATAATTCTACTCATCTCCCTCTCTCTTCTGTCTCATCTTCTTTATGTAAACAGTTGTATTAGTTTCTGATTTATTCTGTGTTTCTTTTTGCTCAAATGGGCAGACATATGTATATTTTATTTACCTTTCATTTTTGTTGTTGTTAATCCTCACCCAAGGATATTTTTCCCAGTGATTTTTAGAGAGAGTGGAAGAGAGGGGGGGGAGAGAGAGAGAGGTTGAGAGAGAGAGAGAGAGAGAGAAACATTGATTGGCTACTGAGCCTCGATCTGGGCTGGGGATCGAACCTGCAACCCTTTGATCGGCAGGCCTATGCTGTAATCACTGAG